ATATATATATATATACAAAACCTAGGAAACTATATTAGGAAACTATACAAAATTAGGAATGTATAATTAAGCTAATTAACTAGTTGTATACACCTAATAACACTTTCCAACCAGATCCAACATGAAACCAATCATTCATGACATCTTAGACTAACTTTTGAAAAAAAAATTTAAAAAAATGAAATTATCAAAATGATACATTTAGTGAAAGCCTTAAGATGCCAAATTAAGCTCAGATATCAAGAAACTGTTCAAGAAACAAAAAATTACACATGCTGCAACAATTGGAAGTTCAAGAGATGCAGCTACGGAGAGGGGGAAAGTAATATAAACATTATAATGTATTAGTGTACCTTAATGTGGTTGGAACAACTTTTCTCTAAATGGACGTTATCTTTACCATTAAGGAGTGAAGCGTGTCTTGTTTTAGACTGCAACGAACTTTTTTTCCCTGAGTTACTTATAGTAGCCAGAGAGTGGAAAGTCTGCAGTGGGAACTTTATAGTGGAACAGAAGGCACTCGTAATTATACTTGGGTGTTTCCTGGATTCATTCTTTACATGTGCTGGAGAAGTCACGACCGAGCTATGCTCAGAAGTTGTCCGGCTAACACAATTTTCAAAGATGCTCCTGTATAATGAGAGAACGTGCTGTTCACGGTTTGCAACCTCTTCTTCGAGCAATTCAATTTCAGCAATCAACTCTTTCGTCTGATACTTGCAAGAAAAGAGGTTTTCATTATCAGCTGGTTACTAAATTTGAGACATGAATAAAAATAAAACGAAGGCCATACAGAACTTTTGTCAGCGTGGAAAATGGGATGTAGGAGAATATGAAAGTATCTATCTCAATAGATTCTTAGTTGGATAACATTTCATACTTGATGTCCCCAACTAATAATATATGATGTTACACAATAACCAGTGCTCAGGGTTCTTAGGCAAAGAACAAATTTATTACCGTTTGTGTATCACTGCCAGAACTAATATCAGATCTCTGAGCCATGCTACTAAGAAGGATATATAGCACACATGAAAATCAGCTTGGATTCGTTTCAAATATCAGGGACTGTTGCTAACTCCTGCGGAATATGCCTAAATAATAACCGCTCCACGGTCCCAAATTTAATTGCCTAGTTTGACTAGGCCGGAAGTTTCAGGTACATGTTGATCCTTTATGTATAACTTCTATTGTTAACTGTGAAATCAAGGGGGAAACATCTTCTTTTGTATACTGAACTAACTTAACTAATTTAAAGTGGTCAGTAATGTATACTGCTTAGGAAGGGTTGGTTTTATCTTAAAATACTATTTTTCTACACAGGAAGATACTTGATTATTCAGAGAGAGTTTACCTGAGCAGCAAAATGACGATGTCCAGGAGAGAGAGTACTAGAAGCTCTACCCATTGCCTTCTCAAGTAACATGCGCATGGACTTCTCCTGCTGCAACTGCCCTTGTAATTGCTCAATCTGCAAACGTCACATTACTGTTGAAGTAAATTGTTTTTACTTGTGTGAAGAATATTATAAATTGT